TTACTCATATTTACTGCACAGATTGATGAAAAATTTTTCTCTTTATACTTGAAAATCGAGCTGGGGTCCGTACGGACCCCACTCGAGTAAAAGTTTAGTAGTCAATAGGTGGTGAAATGAGGGTTAATTATGAATCAACCTGATACAATTCCCGTTCCCAGGAACTCGGTAATCCACACTCATATGCCACAAAACAGAAGAAAACAATATACCTTAACATTCTATCATGTTGGAAAACACGCATTTCTCAAATGCGCATTTGTTCCTTAGGAAAGAACCTTAAGAAACGAGAACTCAGATATCGTAAGGTCAATACATAGAGAAACAGCGCTCGACATTTATTGCAAAACTTATGCATAACCCGTTATGTCGACACACTGAATTATTCTTGTTCACTTATCCACACGGTGTGTTGTTATAACCGCTGATAGCTATCTAAAATTAGAAAATACTTCAAATGGCAACATGTAGTTCGACTGGTTCTGTCAAAATAAGTTTCTGTCGGAGTTGAAACGAAGTTGGAGTCGAACTTAGTCGGAGTTGTCCATCTCTGTGTATGTTTCTAAAATAAACAGAGATAGTGTTTCTACATTTTTAGCCCCACATGGGACTGCATCAACAAGTTTTTATGGCTTAATGAGCTATGAAAAATAAACATAGCTCTGCCGTACTCAATATTTTTAGTTTGATCTCGCTTTCGTAAAAAGTCATTTTATTATGTTCACAATTCATCACTTTCTAGAAACTTTCCAAATTCGGCAGCAACAAATTTTTAGAACTCTGAGCAATTCCTATGCATGAATCCCATTTTTGACAAGCTTTAATTGTGTATAAAATTTATCCTTTGTGCTATTCGAAAGGACTGCATAACCCTTGAAAAAATTTTTTTTCAACGTAGTACAAAAATAAAGCTTGAAAAACAGCTGATTTTCGAAACGAACGATGGAAACTATCGCGTAACCATGCAAAAAATGTTTCAGTGAAAACGAACATTTTTAAATATTAAAAAGAAACATGTCAAATTCCCTTGACTGTAAAGGAAAGGGTCTTATCGAGTTAAAATGCTTGTATGTCCGCAGACTGGATACTAGCGACACACAAACTAGTAGAGCAAAACTTGATTTAGAAGAAGTCTTGAAGTTAGAAGTAGGCTCAGGCCTCTTTGGATCTTTGAAGGGTTGCGTGGAAACCTTTTAGCATTACATTATATTACGAGGCTTATACATTAAAGCAGAGAAAAATTGACAGCATATTTTAAGACTGTTCCCACGGTGTGTTAGGGCTTGGACACTAGTTATCAGTGGGGAGGCAAACATACACGTCAAGACATAATACGAAAGTGATTAGAAATAAGAATTTAAGAATTGGGAATGTGCCTCATTTATCTCTTGCCTTTCAAGAACAATGATGGTCGTCAGAACTGTCGCATTAGCCTACTACTGTTTGTTGAGAATGTTCTTCGGAATGTAAGAGACATGCTTATTTATTCTATAATTTTCTAGAAAAAATTGGATATTGATGATTCCTTTCCAGTCAAGGGAGAAGTGAATCAGGGTGTTGAACGGTACTTGTTTTTCACTTACGTTTTAGATTTCGTCGAACGACAACTGGTAAAATGAAAGAATGTATATAGGTCTTATTCCTTTTATATATATTCAACAGAATGAATAATAATGACATGTTTCTCTAAAGTGAGGAATTAATCATCTTGTGAAATATTTGCATTAGCGTATATCGAGAAAAGAAAGGATGTAGATTTATGTATTTTTAGTGATAAAAGGTAACGATACAACAACCATACTCATGTTGCACAGAAAGACGTATTCGTTTACTTGGTATTTTCTATGCTCTCTTCTTGCTTTACTGCTTCTTATTTAATAATGCTAAGATAAGACGATGCTAGTGGAGTTTGCCAGTTTAATATCTTTCCGTTCTGTTGTTAACAAAGTATCAAGCAAAAAGAAATAGTAGGGATTAGGAAAAACGAGAAGAAATTCTAGTGTTGCGAAAGCAACTACAATACAGACAAAATTAATTTGCGCCGTCATATATATAAACAGACAAGCTAATATTTTATGTAGATCAAGTTAGCATCAGACTCGGCCTTTTTTTGTGCAAATTCGCAATGCAACCAGTGTTGGCTCTTGAATTGTTGTGCTAAATATGAAATCCGATTTTCTATCAACTGGTATTATTTTTGGAAAGAGTCATTGAGCAAAAAGAGGGGTTCGACCAAAATACTGGGTTTATTATCCTATTTAAGCTAGAGGCCTGCAAAGCACAACTTTTCTGCAGCCTGTAATCTATCCTGTAAAATTTTTGGCAACTACTCTGCCCGGCCTTGCTCTTGCAAAAAATTTTTCTAATATATTAATGAAAAGTTCATTTTCTAACGGATTCATTTGTCATGTTATCACTATCGGCGAATAGCAACTAGAAACACACAAGATATGATAAAATTGCTCGATAAGCATTCTGTTGAAAGTGAGTATACATGCATTTAGGTACAATCAAGTACAGCAAGACGATTTTTATTCCGAAAACACCTCATGATTTGCCTAATTTCTTATTAGAGACGAAGGACACTTTAGTTCGGCTTATATTGCATAGATTAATCTATGATTTTACTTTTCCGTTTAAATAATATTCCCTTGACTGTAAAGGAAAGCGTCTTATCGAGTTAAAATGCCTGTATGTTTGTATGTCCGCAGACTAGATACTAGCAACATACAAAGTAGTACAGCAAAACTTGACTGGATGAAAATGATATGGAGTATGTAGTCGACTATCGGGAATCAGAAAATGCGTATGAGCGAGCTCTATGATCAGTTCTATTGATCGAAATGTTTATCTCAGCTTCGCTGAATGTGAATGATCTAGAGTAGGTAGTCAACTATGCGGAATCAGAAAATGCGTATGAGCGACCTCTACGGTGAATCCCATTGGTCGAAACATGATTTCCATTTGAATGGATGAAAATGATATGGAGTAAGTAGTGGAGTATGGGGAATCGGAAAACGAGTGAGTGCGACCTCTAGGGTTGATGCTATTGGTCGAAACGTTTTTCTCCACTTCGTTGGATGCAGATGATGTGCAATATGTATTCGACTATGGGGAATTAGAAAATCTATATAAGCGACTTCTAGAACGGATTCTGTTTGTCGAAAACTGCATCTTAAGTTCATTGGATGTAAATGGTGCGCAACAGGTATGCGACTATCGGGAATCAGAAACTGAGCATAAACGACCTACTTTCTCTCTTAAATGTTGTCGCCGTGTATTGTTTCTATACATGTATTCTAGTGCTATCCTCTGTCCTCAGTCAATTTATGTTAAGATGTAATGGCTTCGCCTCCTCCTTCTCATAATTTCTACTGATTTTTTCAACATTTCTTCTAAATAAATAAAGTTTATATCAACGACCTCGACGGTCGATTCTATTAGTAGAAACTGTCATCTTAACTCGGCTGAATGAGAATGATGCGCAACAGGTGTTCGAGTATGGAAATCAGGAAATGATTTTGAGCCGTCTCTAGGATAGACGAAACTTACAGAATCTAGGTAGTCTATCGTGGCGAATCGGTTAGTGATGCTTCCAGGGCCCTTTTATGAACGAAACGAAACTAAATAACAGTTTATTTTGTACGTCTACTAGAGATTTTAATAATGCTATTTAGCACAAGTTCGTTTTCAGCTGAATTTTGCCAGGAAATGATTCGATTGAGAATAATGTACGTGTATCGCTCTTGCCGCAATATATTGAAGATTCTAGAACTTTCAATGATGTTGTACACGAACTCAGTGCCCACCATGCTCGTTCATCACCTACACAATATTCATCACTTAAATCTTCTCTGACACCACGCCAAACCGTTTGATGTGGAATGGATGGAAGTTTATACAAAGCAGTAAGAAATAATTTGAGATAACGGTACCATGGTCGCAAGTTTTGTCGATCAGCATCTCGTAATGCACAATTGAGAATTGAATAAAGACTTTCTGATGGTACATCCCATTCCATGGTATAGTTCCATGGTAAGTGGTTCTTTTTCATATCCGGATATTGGACGTAGCATTTGGTTTGGTTCATCACGAACTGAATTTAAAAATCGCGGATTTTGTTGATATTGTGAAGCATGACTTTTGGCCATATTCGGTCATACACTAATCTAAAATGTCCCTTAGATAATACAGATGTTGACTCAACAGGTTTTAATCTTTTGTGAACGCCTTAGACCGCCTTACTCTTGAAAAAAAAGTTGTGAAAGTTTGTGTAATGGTAATTTTATTAAAATTAAAATGTGCTAGCAGCGTCAAAAATGAGCGAAGAATTGTCGCATTTTTGTGTTGGTATTTCAGTCAACAAAACTCTACGTGTTTCCCCTTTCTCTACCTGTTGTCTTTCCAATTACATGTGTTTTGCATTTCTTTTCGTGCTTTTATCACTGAAGGCTAACAAATATGACTATACGTTTATTTTTTATTTATTTAGAAATGATAACAGAGCAGAACGGAATCGAAATAACGACGTAAGTGGTGAAAAGCAACCAAATGAATCATATATTCTCAGCTTATAATGAAAATAAAACTGCACCAGAATCTCTAAAGGCAGGGAATCGATTCAGCGAAACAGTAGCAGATATAAATCACATAAAGTAACCAGAGATATGATCTTCAGAAGTATACGATAACAAAATAAGAAGTTGCTTCTATATAATTAGGGATGTTCGATTTTCGTGAAGAACTGGAACCACACTGCCGCTTCTCACAACGCAACTGCGGTTTCTTAGCCTGTTCCTTTTTTGCCGAACCAAGACTTTTTGACTTCCCTTTCTTTCAACAAAATGAAAACATATTGACAAAGCTACAAAAAGATATATTTACCTCTCATCATGTGAATGAATCCTTTCATTTACTATAAAATGAATTCTCTTTCGTTGACTGGCAAACATACCTTTCTGTAACTTTGTCAGTTGTGTGTTTTGTTAAAAGAAAGGCTAATCAAAAAGTTTTGAGTCAGCAAAAAACGGAATCATAATCCTTTGAATGTATGATTTAAATTATGATCAAGTAATAAAAACAGAGGTTTAAACCAACAAGATTTTCCCAGAGACCTCTTCTATATGGTTCGATGCAGCTCGACGAGCTAATTCTGAATATCACGTTGGTTTTGCGCTAAAATGTTATATTAGTCTCAAAAAAATGCATTTAAGGTCAAAATCCACGGTTTTTTGGAAAACCTCGAGCACAATTCAGAATCACTGGGAGTAATTGGCGCTATGGTCCATGGTAGAACACACATAGAGGAATATTTGGCGAAAGGTTGAGCTCGATTGGACTTTAGCTGTTTGTAGCGTTTACAAAATACAGAATGATGCATTTTTGATACTTGATTTTAGCCTAGTAGATTTTTTTTTCTGTAGCAATTTGAGTTCAATCTAAACGATCTTTTCATTAAAATGGAGCTCATAGGTCAATAATTCTTTTCAGATAGTTTTTCAAATTAAACTATTCCAATAAGTTGGCCAAAAATTAACTTTATCTGAGGAGAGCGATTTTTGAACAAATTTCTTAGTATGTGTTTTTCCAACGTTCAACTTAAGTTTTGAAAGTGCTATTTCAGGACAAGATAGATCAAAGACAGAAGTAATTATTCCAATGTTTAAACTTTGAAAAATAACACTTTCGTTTTTTATGTCCGCCTGGTTGCCCACTGTGCGTCCGTCACACTCGCTGGTCACTATATGTATGTACGTCCGCCACACTGCCACATAACTATATGTATGTACGTCCGTCGCCGTGTGTGCATACGTCCGTCACACCCGTGTACGGACAAACACACTCACAGACACCTTGAGTTTTTCGTATGAAGAAATTTTTTTCGTATGACCATAGACTTACAGTGAATGGAATGAAAAATTTTAAAAAAGTTTTATTCGTGTCTTTTTCGCCAGGTTCTTTAGAAATCTTGCACCTGTGGATTTCAGTTGTCACTGTGTAGCTTCCCAAAATACTCGAAATATCAATTGCAAACAAAGTACATTTATAGGTAATCGACTATGCCGCATCCAATGAACATATGTTCGGTGTTCCCTAAGCATTTTCAGAAAATGACCAGAAAATCTCTTCAGAAGTATCGGGGTTTGACATCGACACAAAAAAATCTTAATGACACATAGATTACGGCGCATCTAATGGGCATATAATCAGTCCTCCACGAGGATTTCCAGTAGGTTTTCAGAGGATCTCCAGAATATTTTTTGATAAACTTTGAGACTTTAGCTAAAACGAAAGGCTTTCATAGATAACCAACTGCGACACTTCCAACTACACTACAATTTCAAAAACCCTTAAAAAGAATCTTCTATTTGAGAAAAACCAAAAAAAATGTATAGCCACCCGTGAAAAATGTTGAAAGGGTATAACCATTTGAGACATATCATAACTGTTTAAAAGTTTATTATTCTTATCAAAAAAACTCATTGTCGTGTTCTGAAATATGGCTAAACTATGTTCTGAAAAACGGTTGAGGTTTTCTTCATGTCACAAAAAAATCATTCAGGTATTTTAAAATATCAAAGCAATTCAGGGTTTTTTAAATCAAGGCTTTTTCCTATTCTAAAAATCTCAAACAGGTTTTCTGATAAAAATAAAAAACATTTAAACAGTTATGATATGGTTCAAATGGGTTATACCATTTTCTGTATTTTAAAATATCTTTTTTTTGTTTTAGAGAATACTGGATAATTGAGGTTTCCAGAAAACTTTTAAAAGATTCTCTGAAAACCGTTTTGGACTTGTTAACGTTAAACAGTGAAAGAAACCATGTCAAGTATGATAAGTTTGTGAGCTTTGTTTGTGCTTCGGCGGCCAAAAAATTTCTGAGGATTCTCTGGAAACCCACTGAAAATCCTCATAAAGCACCGATTATATATCCACTAGATATGCCGTAATCTGCTTATCATTAAGATTTTTTGTTTCAAATTCAATCCCCATATTTCTGAAAAGGTTTTCTGGAGATCCTTTTGGAAGTTGAACATATACCCATTAGATGCGTCATAGTCAATTACAGATGAATGCACTTTCTGTGCTTTTCGAACTTTAAAACTTCTTACAAGTTATTCGAACTTATTAATTTACAATAGTTTTAATTTTTGACGATTTTCAATTTAATTTTAAGCAATTAATAACGGTTGACTTTTTCTTCCAATCATAGTTTTATACAGTAACACGCATAGGTTATAGAAAATATTTAATTTTAACAATTTATTAAGTTAAGGATTTCTTGCAAGACTTTTTATTTTTCATAAATTTATTTTATAATTGAAGTGAGCATACTGCTATAGTTCTTTGTAGCCAATTACAGGAAAAACAGTTTTGAAACTAAAAGTAAATGTCATGACTATTCCATCTGCCGACCAAAAATGTGGCTATTACGTTAATAAAGAAAAAATTATTTTTCTCGCATGACATCATGTAGTTTTAACTTCATGTTTTCCTGAAACCTTCAGATTCTGTTTTATACCCTCGGTAGAACAGTAAAAACTATTTTACCCGTAGCAGAAAGACAATACTTAAGACTACAAAATCGAAGATATAAGGAAAATATCGGCCGAGAGTATTGATCTTGGCGCATGTATTGGGAAAAGAGCGTTTCATTGTATTATACAAACCCCTTCGTTTGGACGCTTTTTTGGAGATCCATAAATAGTGGCGGAGCCATCAACCAGGCTGAGCCCCACCTAGACGGTTTTTTAAAATCTTTCCTGAAATTCAGCTTAAATTTATTAGCACTACATCAGATCGAACTCCAGAAAAGTGATGGACTGAGCCCTGCCTAGCACGAAATCCTGGTTATATCGCTATCCATCCACAAAGATCAGCGTGGAATTTTGATTCTGCTTTTTTATAATATTTTTTAGCGCGCTCATCGTACAACTGTAGATCATTCATTGCGAATCATTAATCTTCATATAGTTTACAAATTGTTATGGATACATTTTCATCAAGGGATGAACGTTGACTATGACAAAAAAGTTTCTTTTTTTTCTTGATAGAGAATTGTTTGCTTTGTCAAGCAGAATTAAAATTTGCCGCTGGTGCTATTACCGTTATAATAATGTATGATAAAATGATATACTTTTCTTTTCCTCTCTACAATATCGTGTTATCTTTTTTCTCGCATGTTCACTGCTTTTGCCATTCGTTTCAAAAAAAGTATGTTGGTGAATGTTTTTTGAATAAAATCTAAACAACAGAGATAGAGAGCTGTTATTTTCAGTTTATGAAAATAAATGATTGGAGTAATTGATTTTTGGAAAAATTATCGTGAAATCACTAAGTGCCATGGATATAGGCCGATATAGGATTTCTCTATTCATATATAAACTTATCTATTTTAGCTCTTTTATTGGATTGTGCAATTCAAAGTATGAAAAGAAAGTATATCTGGTTTTAAGTAATCTTGAAGGTCTTCAGGAAACTCTGTGAAAGACTGATGATATTTTCTTGAATATAGTATGCCTCAAGGGATACAAAGTTATAAAGAAGCTAAAATAGAGTATATGCTAGTAATCTGATGTTGTTCGAAACTACGTAGAACCTGAAAATTGCAGTTTTTTATCTCTTTGTGTACAGATCTTATTCAAAAAAACATTCTTTTTTTTTGTATGTGGGATTGTATACTGCTAGTGTGCCTCGTGACAAAATAAAATCTTGATCCAAGTGGTGACCAACAATGGATATTATTAAATTTGTAAGAATTATAATATAACGGTTTCTGGTATGGACACATAAACAATAGTAACAGAGCTATGACTATGATTATGATTAGATAAACAATAGTGACAGAGCTATGATTATAATTATGGTTCGATAGCTCTCTAAATAGTATAGAATAGAAAGAAAAGAATGTTTTTTTGTCTCTTGCCTCACCGCTTTTACATCTATTAATCAGAGATTTTTATATTTCCATTACTCATCACAATATTTCTTTTTTCATGTATACAAACATATATCTGTTCGTTTTTTCTTTTGCTATTAGATGTTGACAATAGTCGTTTAGAAGGTAGAAATATCAAATAAACAGTAGAAAGTTTTATATAACTATAATCAAAATTAAATTCATTTGAGAAGATGGTATGAAAATATTACAGATTTGAGAGACGTTAGCTGAAATATAGAATCTCATCTACTTTTTACCTAAAAGTCACAAATCGTGACAAAGTTCGCACAAGACGTCTAGCTTAAAAGAAGTATAATAAGTATGAAATAGACAAAATAATAATAATATAAAAAATATAAGAAATTGGGTAATTGATAAAAAGAGTATGAATAACGAATATTAATACACAACAATTGTTCTATCATTTAAATTCTGGCTGAGTTAGAAAAATTTGTGGGATTGTTAAAATAAGCATTGGAAGAAGGAGTAAATATTAGCAGTAAAAAGTAATTTAAAAAATTTATGTAATACACAAATGAAAAACATGGCTTGACTCCATCTTGTAACTAAGAGTTTTCAGCTTCTTCTATCCTATTTATATATGTCTCGATAAACCCATATTTTGTCCTGATTGATTTGCACCTTTATTCATTCCATCATTCAATAGTCCAATCATTCCTTGGCCAGCACGTAATTGTTCTTCACTAAAGTCACGTTGATTTGCTTCACTTTCTTTCACACCTAATACTGGACCTTTAAATCCTTTCTTTTGTGCCTATAATTTTAATGAACAACGTTGTTTAATTCACTATGACATACTACAGACACACACATATACTTACAGCACGTCCAAGCGCATGAACGGCTAATGTCACTTGTGGAATATTGCGTTTTTCAAATAAATCAACTGTTTGAAATAAATCAGAACTCAACACACCATACGCCAGTGCAGCTTTTTCTAAGAAAAGAGAAAGTAAATGACAGTTCGAGTGGCGATTTTCTTTTTCTTTTGTATGAATTCAGCTTACGAAAGGCTGCTACATTTTCTCTTAATTTGAAGTCGCCACCCGATGTTGTAATCTTGGGAACAGAATTCGGTTCTAGTTTATTCATCAATCTTAGTATAATACAATGAAAACAAAATGAGCATTTGTACACTTCTGTACACAATAAACTTTCTTACTTGCATAAAATAACACCGTTTTTGAGAGCATCCTCATACGAACCACTGGGAAATTTTTCTCCTATAATTGCTTCTATCCAGTGCTGAGCTTCATCATCCAAAGGAGTGCTGCGTTTAGCAGCCATCTAAGTAAGAAGAAAATAGATTCAAATAGGTTAAGATGGAAGTTTACGTTACGCATCACGCGATATACTCTGTTTTCTCTAGACCGAGTACGCTCAATACTAATGGCTGCATACATCAGCTGTGAACCTCTTCTGTATCTGCACTATCTTGTGTAACCATTTTTAACTTCATTTCATTAATTTTTGATAACGTTTTTTGAAATACTGCTGAGCACATGGCGTTCATTCAAATTAAGCGCGAAATAAGTGCAAGATATATAACGTAAGGTAAATAAGGCAAGATGTCACCATTAGAAAATTTGGTGCTTGCTCCACGCTGAACCAAATTGGATAAAAATTGGGCGCCAAATGCAACATTAGTCGGTGAATCCGACAGCGGGTTCCTTATAATTACACCTTCACTTCTTTTTTGGCGTCGATCCAATGAGAAAAATAAAATTTAGGCAAAAACCACGTTGATTATGTCAACGCCAAAAAAGAAGTGAAGATGTAATTATAAGGGATCCGCTGTCGGATTCACCGACAAATTTTGCATTTGACGTCCAATTTTTATCTAATTTGGTCCAGCGCGGAGCAACCACCAAATTTTCTAATGTACACAAAAGTTTTTGTAGTCTATCCCCACTCGGACAGAAACTTATATTTAAATTTGAAGTAATATATAGGCGAGAAGGATACTAAGCAAAAATTGCTCGAAATTTGGGTCTAGGAAACGCCAATTTCTATTTTCACTCAATATTTTAAAAAAGTTCTATTTCGATCATTCAGTAGACCTCGTGAAGTTGTACTAATAGGAAAAATCGAGACGAGTTCAGGTCAAAAATACATCAAATCTCTTAAAAATTGGAATGTCAAGGCAGGTGTTATAAGATAAATGACTGTAAAAGGGAGAAAATAAGATAATAGTCACTAGTTTTGACTCTATTCTACATAGACAAATGTTCTATATACTCACAGTTCGTTCTCGTTCCGCCAATGAACCATAGCTTGGTCCTTTATTCGCCATTTTTAAAACCGTGTAACAGCAAGTTAGAATATCACAAAGCAAAAAACAAGAAAAATGATGTTACTGTGCTCTTTGATAGTCTTTAAAACAAAAAAAAACAATGGAGAACAGAAAAAAGAAAGAAAACCGTTTTTTGTTTTCCTCTGTGCCGTCAATATTATTCAGGAAAAAAAGGATGAACACGTATGAGAGAGAAAAGAATTTTCTATATTTTGCGTTCCACACTTGATATCAGAGTATGTTAATAGAACCTATGACATAAATTGTCGAGAAAAAAAAAATACAAACGAATTATTTTTTCTCTATCATATGATATGGAATAATTTCCGTATATACATACAAGAAAAAATACTATTTTTCCAGTGTAACTAAAATATCCACCGCCCTCTAAGAGAAAAATTATTTTATGTTGGAAATGTACGTTATTTCTTTTTCTGTGTATATATTTGGTATTTCTCTTTCTATAAATACACTGACGTTATTATAACAAAATTTTTCTTCTATTTTTCTCATAATAACAGAAGTCCCGTGTTTCGATTGATCCACCATAGAATAAAAGACATTAGAAAACAATTAAGTGAATTAGATAGTCATGGTACGGTTTAAAACGGAAAATTCAATAAAATAATGTTATAGATGAAAATAAAACTGAATTGTCTATTTGATAGAGTTCTGTCGACTGACATATGAAAATAATAATATTTTCTGTTACTTGGACAGATGGTGTTCATAAGATACACAAGGCCATTTTGTTAAGCCATCACTACATTTTGGGTTTTATTGCGACAGTCTATGGTATTTTCAAAATTTAGAATATTGAAAAAAATTTATCTGATCGTAAAAGAATGATACAGCGCTTTTATCACACTAAAATAAAGTAATCCTGTATCAGCATGATATGATTCTTGAAGAATAAACTTATGTCTAGCGAACTGTGTTCAACACTTTTTGGTTAAAGGATGTGACGAATAATTTTGAATATATTACTATATTTTAGTCTACATCCACGTTCTCACAGCACCATAAAATGTAACTTGTACAACTTTTATTCTCTATCTGTGCTTGTAACATTTACTCTAACTGATGGTGTTGAAGAAAAAAAATTTGTTATTTACATGCAGCTACCCGCAAGAATGCCAAAGATTGCAAACATCGATAAAGAACGAAAGTTATACAGTCTATAATATATGTTGTCAGAGAACGTGGATGTAGACCAAATATAGAAATATGTTTACTGTTTCGACGAAGCAATTATAATTTGTTTTCGTTTTTTTCGAGAAACGGCTGCCTATCTTGATCCACGTGCTCATGATATTATGACAAATAATAATAAAGAAGAAGCACAAAAACTATTGGTAGACAAAATTTAAAATTCATTGTCATTTATCAATACTCTTGTCAATTCTAACGCAACAATCTCAACAATAATAATACTTTCCACTATATCTACATCAACTGTTACCTCAATGTTAAAATCAAAAATAGAAAAACCAGCACATAATTGTGTTTTTAGTCTTGATCGATTGTCGACAACAGCAACGTCAAATAATACGCTAACACATTAACAGCAACTAAATAACTAAATTGACAGTTCTACAGCACAATAAAAAATTCACATTTAGCGGAAATAGTAAACAAGAAATATTCAATAATCAACATTACTATCTATCCCAAAACATATGGCACCCGATTGTTTTTTGAATAAATCAAAAAGAAAAACAGATAGAGACATGCAGTTTTCAGCAATCAAAAGACGACAGTTTAAGCTATATTTTCATAAGCACAAGCGCTTTTCAAAAAGATTCGAAAGATCGATTTCTTACAAGATCTTTGGAAAACGATCTCCGATTGTTAGAATCTGACATACGAATCTATCATTTTTTTCCGAAGACAGATAGTCCAAAATGTCTGCCACAAAATAAGATCTAAACAAAAGTTTGGTTTTGATTGGTTCGGGCGCTACGGACCTTTTTCCCAAAGGCTTAGGACTTGTCTGTCGTTAGGTATGGATTGTCAGAAATGCATGAAAGCATACGTTATCGACTATGGTGAATCTCATGGTAACATTTATTTTTCAAAATAGTTTCAGAAACCTAGTGAAAAAATATATTAAGTGAAATATTCAATTTTTGTCTATTTTTGAATAAAATTTAAAAATTCTTCACCCAGTCAAGATCTATCCAAATTATGTCACAATATCCAGATGTACTCTATTTCAGCTGTTCAGTACGATCTTTTTTACTTGAGAATAGTAAAAAGCATTGTTGTACTTTGGAAGACTTCTGGAAAATCTTTTCAAAAACGAAAGTATTTCCTTTTGATTTCTAAAGCTTTTATTGGACTGCATAGTATTGAACACTAAAACAGAATATATCTTGATATTCTGACGTAGTTCGCATCAATATTGACTAAGTTATGAGTTTCTAATTTTACACGACGATATGCAAAAATGGGATATTTCACGTAATATAGCTTTTCACTAGGTTTCTGGAATTTTTTTGTATAACAAATGTTGCCACGAGGTACATCGTGGTCGATTACCTATCTTCTCATTCGCTTTCGAAATTACCACACCTACAGAAATATCGATCCTGGGACTCTCAGAAAAGCCGATGCCACGCACGCCTGAATCAGAAAAAATGAAGATGTACTTAGTCCCCGTTTTTGGAGAGGACGCTTTGGACTATCTATCTATGAAAAGAAACTGATAGGTTGTTATCTTAGTTTCTGGAGATCCGAAGTGATTTTCCAAAGATCTCACAGAAAACCGATCTTTCGAATGTGTTTGGGTTTTACTTATGAAAATATTGACTAAACTGTCCTCTTTTTATTGATGAAAATCGCGATCTTTAATTGTTCTTGAATTATTCGAAAAACAACCGGGTGTCTTGTATTTTGAAATGGACAGTAGTACATGTTTACTGTGGGACAGTTCTTAACTTCTTCGTTAAAACAAAGATTATTCATATGTATCTTAATATAGCTTTTTCTGTTTCTATATTATCTTTCAACAATAAAGAATATTTGATTGATCTACTAGATAACGATACATGTTACAAGAAGCATTCTTGGTCTATGATCAAGATAGAATGATGTATAATCGTCACTTTTTGATACCGAGGGAAATCGATTTAGTTTCTGTTAAGGTATTAGTATATTATTTAACGATGCTGTTGTTGACAGTCTAAAAACACAATTAGCTTTTGGTGAGCTTTTTGAGTTTCGATCCCGATGAACTCTAGTGATTAATCAAAGAATTTGCATCTGAGAAAGAAAGTCTCCCATTCCATCTGAAATTATGTTATGTTTCTAGAACATATAAAATAGTTCTCACAAGCTACTATAATTGCATTTTGTTGACAAAAATCTATCTGAATTGTTTTTCAAATTTATTTAATATAATCAGTTTTATACAAGCTTCAACGCATTTCTTGTTGTCATTAGTTAGGTAATGTTTCAGTGAATGAAGCACAACATATGTCAATGGTTGAGTGGAGTATTTCTGTCTGAATAGCGTTTCACTTGAATCAATAAATTTGTCCACAACTTTAGCTAAAATTAACAATATAATATAATCATCACGTAATGATTCCATCCTGTGTATTTTGGTTTCAATTCAGCACTTCCGTCTAGTTTTTTCAATAAATATCCGATATAGTTTTGAACAACCATGCTATTTTCAACATTTTATATGTCTAATTCCAACATATCTATACCAAAGGCAGTGACTGAAAAAATATTAAGGGTACTCTCGCTTGTTCTTGCCCCTCTTAAAAAGTGGGGAAGCCGATGTTTGATCGGAGTGATATTTATACCAGAGATAGGACATCGAAAAAGAAAATCGATGTATTTTTTGCCCAGAATTTTCTGGCATGTTCTTTTATGGGTTTTCTGGAAAATTCTAGTTTCCATCTAGTCACATTACGACCTCTCGACAAAATGGTCCGATCGGGATGAAAATTTTACCACAAATACTTTAGATTCTATCTCACGTTCATTTTTTTTTCTTTTCGAAAAATATGCTTTCGTTTTTGAGATATTTGAAAAAGACTAAAAATCCTGTATAAAAAAAACGGTTTTTCTTTTAAGACCTTTCTCATACTTGTCAAAGTTGAAATCGAAAACACCTAAAAGAAACGAGGGACTATTGACGGGACTATAGAAAAGACGCATAGTGATAAAAACGGGTTTAGAACAATTATTCCTGGGGCCATTTGCTCGCGGACAGTTAACTAAATAAGCTTTTTCCACGTTCTCCTATTTTTTTGCCAATTATTTTTTCCTTCTGCACTCACTTTTTTCAGTGGTGATAGATTTTAAATGAATAATAGTGTTATTAGCAAATGTTCGATCGTCCTAAAAAGTTATTCCCATAGGGAACTGAATATGTTCTACAATCCAGTCAGATCAACAATTACTTTCTAGAAAAAGATTTTGACTTTAGAAAACCCGTTTTCCAAAAAACAGATCTTCAAAGGCTGAAAAGTAGTCTCGACTATCATATTCAGAATCAGTATCATCGGTTAGCTATAGTCAAGCGGTTTTCGTAAAAAAAGCGATTTTCACTAAGAAACGTTTCCTCGTGAGAATAAATGATTTTATTGCCACTTGTATTTTTTGGAGAACTTCACTAGTTTTTCAAACATCTTCTCAAAACTCTGCTTCAGCAAAAGATTCTGGAACTCACTTTCAAATTAATTTTGAAACGAGAATTTTTTTTGAAAATGTTTTGTACAGTTGTGGTTGTGATATTATCGTGTATCGGGGCATAACTAGAATTTTAAACGTTTTTCCTACTCCTCTTCACCGGCGATCGAGAATGTGCTTTATATTCTCGTTAATCTTGTTTTTGTATAGATAAATTTCATTACTGAATCAACCATAAATTTTAATGCATGTCAGTTGAGCATCGACATGATTAAAAGAAATAGTAGAATGAAAAGAGCCAGTAATTTTGTAAAACTGTCATTTGTTAAAATCCAAAGTCTAAAAGTCTTGTA